AACTGAAGAGGTTGGCTAGCAAAAAGAACATTTAAAAATTCTGGTGGATCCTTACTTTGACTAACCCGGAAATCGCAGCTTGATACAGAAGAATACAAGACTCGTATCGAGACAATCATGCAAATATTGAGAAAGATTGGGAAAACACATTTAAAATCCTAAATCCATCCAGAGCAATTCTAAATCCACCGACCATTATCAGTCTGCATCTAAAACATGTTCCCTTATGGGAAACCCATATCTATGTACATCTTACCATAGATCGCAAGGATACATTCCTAGGGAGAGCAGCAAAGATTGGGCGGCCTGAAGCACTTTCATTGATCAGCTTCCTAATGAAACAGCACTGAAGCTAGTCCTAGCTGATCGGGTGTTGGTGGTGGTGTGGTGGGTGGTTGTGTGTGTGTGTGTGTGTGTGTGTGGTGTGTGGTGTGTGTGGTGTGTGTGTGTTGCTGGAGGCTGAGCATTTACGCAGGAATTCGGTGTTTCATAGGTACATGTATCGTCTAAATGTGCTGTATGTCGGGAGACCTACAGTAGACCGATGCGGAGCGTGGAGGGCAGAAAAGCTTAAAAATGCAGGCTCGTGATGCAGTCGGTTGGCCTCTTCTCATTTGCTCAGGCAGGTTGGAGAAACTGCTGATGATGCAATGTGCTGATCGCCAAAACACTACCTGCTCGCCAGCAGATCTACGCCAGCTGGGGCAATCTCTGTCTTGCTCTTGTTGTCGCCCGCCTCCGTCTCCTTCATAAACCCTGCCAACCCTTCTTTCCACTTCGTCCTCGGACGGGCTGAAAGGGCTCAATGCATAATCCTTCTTGTTGTAGCAGCTGTGTCTCTGCTAAACAGCAGCTTCTCTTGGCAACACGAGGCCAAAGCCTAGTTGAGCTGAGTGATATGCCATTGGGTTACGCTCAAGATGGTCATAGCGTAAGTAGTGACAAAAGGGCCAGGACACATCACTCGGCTGAAACGTACACCGGGACAAAAGAAGGCCAGACTTTTGATCAGGCCATGTAGAAGATACACGCCGAGCAACACACTACTCTACGGGGCTTCAACAACGGTTACGCAGACCATACCGAGATGACCAATCCCAGCTGTGGCTCCTCCGAGCCTAATACAGGCAGATCAAACAAAAACAGACACACAGAAAGCACTCCAGGTCTTTTATGTCGCCACCCGTGGTCGGCAGCCAGGGACACCGCTGTAATGGAGTGGAAGCTATCGCACCAGTCAAGAGCCATGCAAATACAGCTGCAGGGTCAGGCCATACATGCAGCCATAATGGCGCAATTATTCTGGATATTTTCTGGACATTGAAATAGAAATAATTGATTAGAATAAGGAGGGATGAAACCCCATCCTTTAATGGCTCCACATGGAAGAGCACACAGTGACATGGTTCCATGGCTTTAACTCCATCCTAGTACGCCAGGAGTCTAGCAGCTAGCAGCAGTGGGCAGCTATTGTACAAGCGGCCGGGGGGCCAATGGGAGTGAGGGGGGGGACAAGGTGGGTGTCCGGTGCTTGGCTCAAG